TTTTTTTTTGGCGACGAAAAGCAAAGGATCGTTTTTAAGGTCAAAAAGACACCAAAAATTGCGACGTTTTTTTAGTTGACGCTTCGCTTTTTCAAGGGTTTCTTTTAGGTAAAGTTCGCGAACCTCAAGGGGAGACCTCGTTTTTTGCATTTTCGGAAAGCCACCTCGTGCTGAGCCCTGACTTTAGCCACCCTAAAAGTATCTCATTTATAATATGCGAACATGCATACAAACAGAAAAAACAGGCCAGGCATTTTTACACGTTAAATATATTTTGAGGAACTAAATGGTCGAAAATTCACGTTATGCAAACAAATGATATGCTCGATGATACATGCTAAAGGTAATTTTCTAAGCCAGATTAGGAAAGAAATAACAAGTCAATCATCCCATTTTTCTTCTGCACAGGTTTTTCAGACTCTTCATGTTACATCTTTCTCATTAAACGGGTTTCTATTGAACCATTTGTCTGTACTGCAAAATTTTGATTGCTGACACACAATTCGGCTAACATAGAAGTCTTTCAGCATAAAGTCACCCGAGAATTACACACAATGTCAGTAAATCTGTCCACCTTGATACCATGTGAGTTTGTTTTGAATGTTATTGCTCTTTGAATCATTCTAAAGTATGGTATCTTGACCTATCTCGCTATGAAGAATAATCAGGAATAATCAGAAATAATCGGGCAAGTATGCATCTTGGATTGAACGACCGTATAACGTGCTAATTTGACTTTCTATCAAGAGATCTAAGGATTTTCTTAATAAAAGACCCACTACATATTTGCACCAACTGTCAACTCATGTTCCATTCTCTTTTAGCTTTTCAATGGGCTGCTTTGATTTTAGGCCAATATTACCCCTTGCTGCTAATGGATGTAGAATAGGACAAAATCCCGAACCATTTCCGCGGTGTTTAATTTTACCAAGCTTTTAAGCAAAATGCTTGAAATACTTTAATTTTGTTCTTGCTCCTTTAAATGATTTCAACCCAACACCTTGGAAGATCTGAATTTGAGCGCAGCAGAGAACAAGACAAGAAGTACACGCCATGTTCTAGTTCTTCATTATTCAACACATCAATATTCTTCATTTGTCAAACTTTCAGTCACACTTGAATAACTCTGTTGCTTTCTGCAAAAATAGCTGGATGAGTGGAACGAGACACACAATCTTAGCCGCTAATTCTAATTAATCTTCGTTCTAGTTTTGAAATTGCAATACTCGGACACTAATGTATGGTTATATGAGAAACCTGCTTCTTTTGGGTAAGTGTTAGTACATTTTGGCTCAAAGTGCTCAGATTTTGAACATTCTAGGTTTTGGGGTCAGCCTTCACGCAGGTCCACCTGGAATAAATCCTGATGTAAGATATTCGAAGGCATCATTGAAAGCAGAGTAGAAACATCTTATTTTCAGGCAACAAAAGTAAGGGGCGATTTACCACAACCACCAGGTTATCTATAGAAGTGATAAGCAATTCTTGATTTAATTCTTAGTTGTGCAGATGATTTGAACGAGGATACCAAAGACAATCGATTGTTTCGAGGTAGTCCTCCCAGAAAAGGCAAGTTAAATCAAAATGGTTTCCGTAGAAAGGGGACGAGCTGGGTGAGAGTAACTTGGTTTGTTTTTAAAAGTAGGAGACTTTCGAGTAAGGCGACGTTGATCTCAGAAGAATATTTGGCTTTTAGGAGGACCTATCTTTCCTCCTGGATCTAACCCTATTAGACTTGCTGATGGCACAAGTTGTAGCGGACCAGAATGTTTTGCTGTTCTCAGGTAGATGTTGAATGCAAGTAGGTGAAAGAGTAATTCTTTTGTCGATTCTGAGGTCTACATTTACAGGCTTCCCGATTATGATGATGACGAAAAAGTGAGTTGATTCAAC